AATGAATTGTTGTACTACACTGGGGGAAAAATATTGCTCCAACATGTGCAATTTTGCCTATAATTAGTTCTGCAGAAATTATTGACATGCATGTTGCTGGCCTGTTGCTGACAGTTTATTTATGGTTATTGATTGAGATTAGAATAAGATAAAAGATCTAGAGAGGAAATAAAGTGGGAAGAGTTGGATCATACATACAGTAGAATAATGCAGCTTACTGAAACTTGACGGGCTGTCTGACCTAATTTCCTTGGCCCTGGAAAATCTAGTGTGAAGATACACACCCCCACCAATTCATATGCAGAAGCTGTCATGGCAAGCAACATGTAATTGGATGGATAGTGGATAGTGGCTGCTGCATGCAGAAGCAGCCAGGAAGCATGCATGTGACTCTTGAGAGTTTGACACTGTCTAAATCATGCATGGCTGGGGAACAATTCTGATGAACCCCAGCTAAAGAGTGAAGGAAAGTAGCTGAAAGCACACCTGTCCTACCAAATGCACATATATTTATTTTCTCATCATCCACTCATTCTCTGTCGATCATGCATGGGATAGGTAGATCGTAGATAGATGCTTCATGCATGCTTCACATCACAGCTTTTGTTTTTGAGCCATGAGAGACCTGCTAAAAGGCCATGGATAGATAGCTGAAGCCACGAGAGACCTGCTGCTTGTATTTTGTGACCTGTGACTCCGAGTGATGCATACTCCAACCAACCACTGCACACCGTTGACCTTAGCTTTTAGGATCTCCCAGCTGCATGGCATGCTGACCTCAAATGACACCAGCAGCCTTGCATTGCATGCATATGCTGATTGCTCCCAAGCTGTCAGTAGTTTTTTTTATCCCAACAACAAAAATTGTGCAAAGAGGAAGGGGATCCAATGGATCATCAGCTACTACATCATTGGTCATCTGCCATCCGGAGATAAAAATTTCCTTACATGCATGTTGAGTTCACTGGGAAGTAGCTTAGGAGTACTAAGTACTGTCTCTCTGTGCCATTAGCTAGGATGGTCAAACAGCACTGAAGTTTGTGACCTGCGACTCTGAGTGATGCTCCAACCAACCACTGCACACCACCGACGGAGCCTGCTTGCTGCGTGCTTGCGTCGTCTCTGCACTGCAGGCACGCTTGCTTCCTGAATAACTGAATGCATGCCTTTTGCAGATACGGGGAGGTGGTTGGTGGCGAGGAGAGCAGCAGCATACTTGCAGATCGCGCACGAGCAGCAACGAACTCCTATTCCCCTTGGTTGGATTACGAAGGGCAGTGGGCGCCGGTCGCCGGTGAATTAACGGGGCGGCGGGTGTCCGTCGCCGGCGAATTACTTCCTGTTCGTGAGTATCTATATGTTTGGAAGAAGAGAAAAAAAAATACTAAACTACCCTTTAGTCTTACGGGAGAGTTTACGAGAGGAACCGGTGGTTCCTCCCAAGTATAGTAACAAAGCTCATATTTTAACTACTTTTTAAGCGCCTCTACACATGTAGTTATTCATAACGAAAAATAGATGAATTGTCGCATTTTCATAGTATTATGATTAAAAATAGATAAATTGTCGCGTTTTTTGCGCTATAAATTAACAAACTTTCACTGTGTTTGTGTGTGTGTGTGTGTGTGGGGTAGATTTTTGGGGTCCCAACAAGGCTGGCTGGTTCCGCCTCTGAATAATCTCATATAGACTCAAATGGCATCTATCATTGGTCATCTGCCATGCATCCGGAGATAAAAATTTTCTTGCATGCATGTGCAGTTCATCACTAACTCATTCAGTTCATTGGGAATTGAAATAGCTTAGGAGTGAGTACTAAGTACTACCTCTCATTGCCATGAGGCCATGAGGGTAATAAGTAGGTAGCGTTGAAGCGATATGATACAGCAAGAAAGGCAACTGAAAATGAGCTTGTGAGTCATGGAACTAATAATCCATGGTGTGTGTGTGTTTGTGGACGCAAATAATAATATCCCTAAAAGCACACATTAGCTTGATAGAATTTCACATGCTGCATGCCTGAATGCCCTGCTGGCTTACTTTACTTTGTTCCCGCCCGGAGAGGGCTGGTGCTGCAGCATCTAGAAACACAAACCTTTTCAGCTAGCAGCATCTCATGGCATCACGGCAAAATATATATGGGCACGCGGGCTTTTTTTTGGTGTGTGTGTGTGTGCATGCATGGCATCCTCGCGTGTTGACATGTGCATTGCAAAGGTGTAATAAACCCTGGCTTTTCCTAGATCTAAGAATATGGCACAACCCACCTCACAAGGGAATGCGACGTGACACGTGTTCTTTTACTACTTTTTGTATCCTCTTACTTATTGTTTCTTCTTCTTACATATTTTACCCTCCGTAAAAGCAAATGCACTGTGTGAGGAATGAGGCAAATGGCTGGTGGCCTTTTATCAAAAAAAAATTTAAATTTTATAACGGGCGCTATTGAGTAAAATTTAAAAGAAGAGAGTTACTTAGGAGGCTTTTAGTTTGTGAAATGAGCTGGTCCATCACCATCTCACTCTCTAATTTTTGTTGTTTGGTTTGTGGAAGCTCATAATTAGAATTAATATGAGGAATGTGATCATTCTACTAAATTTGAAGAATGGGCCACGATGCATCACCAGCTAGAATTGGTTGATTTCTCAAACCAAACACTCTGTTACATACTACATGAGTATTCCTTTGGATTAGTGCCTCGCGCTGTTACATTTTGTGACTGAGCCTTGAACGAAATAGGTAATGGAAATTCACTTTACTCCCGTTGTCGAGTGCGGGAGACAAATTAAATAGTCAATTAGCAGACTTGGATATATGCTAATACTATAACACCGTACCATTGATATATGATGCTGACACGAGCTGTTAGGGCACTCTCCAAAAAATTACGGTACTCAACCCGTCATCCCAAATTATAAGACGTTCTGTTTTTTCAAGATACATAATATTTTTACTATGCACTTAAATGCATATAGGCTATAGTAAAAATAATGCATCTAGAAGAGTCGTAACGTTGAGTGAAAAGAGTAGCTAATAAGCTGGTTGTCACATGCATCGTGCATGCAAGAACAGAATCATATATATTGTGCCACGTAGTACATACTCCTGCACACCTATAGTAGTAGTAGGCAAGAGGTCGATTCTGCACAAGCACAAAAACAGTGCAACGGGCTGTACTGTATGTACATCACTAGAGCATAGCCCAGCAGCTCTCGTCAGCCTATCCATCGACAGCGGCGCGGCGGCACAGCACCCTGGACAAACCTCCGAGGCGGCGGCAGCCAGCCCAGCATGTGAGCGCTAGCCGCTGCTACCCACCAGCTCCGACTCCGGTGGGACTAGCTGACCGGCCGGCTGGCCGGCGTCGACGTGTCTGCATTGGTATGGCACGTCGCAGGCTGCAGTGCCGTGCGGGCAGGGGCACTGCCGCCGCTGTTTCTTCCAGCTCCAGCTCACAGAGACTGGCCGTGTGGGCGTGGACATGGGGTGGGACCACCGCACACGCTGTCACTCATGGGCGCATGCATGGCTGGGCCCCCCACTGGCCGGCCAGCTGGACGTTTAGGGGCCGTCGGGTGGCGGGATGGACGGCTCCGATTGGATGCCCACCTGCGTGTGCGTGCCACTGCCATTACCGGAGCCCGGAGGAAGGAGGCCCGTCTTTGTTTGTCGTCCTTCCGGACCTTCCGACAAATGAGTGTCACCAACCAACGCCTTGTTCATGAGTGTCACCAATCGTGGACCAACTAGGTCAAAGATTCAAGTGATTTCCAGCTAAACTGCCGCTCGAGCATGGGTCTTAGAGGATCATGTAAACAAGGCCCAAGGTCACTCGAGCATGGGCTGCATGGGTCGAGTCGAGTCACTGAACTCGCAGCTGTAACAGCGCTCTGCTCTTGCCGGCCATGCATGCCAATCCATGGACGACGACGACCTAGCTGCCGTCTCATCACTTCACTTCATCATCAGTCATACTACAGCGTACGTACCTGTACCATGTTCTGTGGCGGCGACGTGGCCACAAGCAGGTCGCATGTCGACGAAGATCATCCGATCCACTGTTGCCTCTTGTACTTTGTGTGCTTGCCGACGCCGACAAGCAGTGCACTGCACTGAACTGTGCAAGAGTCCATGCCCGTTTGTCTGGTTGAATGAATGCAAGCACGGCCGGGGGAGCTGAAAAATGGAGGGCTCAAGGCTTCAAGCTCAACAATGGAATCAGAATCTGTGCTGCCTTGGATGGATGGAGGGCTGGGATCTCAAGTTTCATCAGGAGTTGGCGCCAATGAGTGAGGCTTGTCATCTTGGCCTTCCAATTTCCAGTGATGAGATGATCCCTCCCAGTTGGGAGGAGCAGATGGGCAGATCAGACAGCAGGGGAGTGAAATGCAGCTTGTCTGTCTACACCTTCTTAACACTTCCAATGTTGCTCAACCATTCATCAAGGATCTAAGAAGACGAAAAAAAAACTTACTCATCCTGCGGTCCTGCACTTGCCCACCACAGCAAATAAATCCAGCGCCACAGACAAAAGGGTCCAGTCAAATGGCAGGTTTCAGGACTGCAACATATAATAAATAAAAACATGACAATGTTGCTGACAGTGGCATAATGTAATGCCATATTGGTGCTTGGCAAGCAAGCAAGAAGACTGAAATTACTCATGACTTGCCATGCGGAAATTTTCTACTGTATGCAATCTTAAAAATGGAAGGGGCGAAACAACTGAATTCACATATGCATCAATCAAGCAAAACAGCAGAGTTGCATTCCCTGATTGCAAATTTCTCACCACACGAGGAGGCACAGCTCACAACTGTCTGCTAATCAAAAACCTGTACAGAGACCTTATGCACCAAGTTCACCATTGATTGAACTACCTAGGTCTAGAAAACAAACGAATGACGAAAAATAAACCCTTCCTAGCACCTAGCAGGAGAGGGCAAAAACACACGAGAGAAACTTGACATCGTTGCTAAAACATGAGAAAACTAATCAACCTAACTTTCTGCAAAGACCCTAGCAAAGATTTTGGTGATGTCTGTCGAGAACTTCCTCTGCAAAGCCCTGTTTATTGTATCAGAGATCCACCGTTGGTCCATGTAGCAAGGTAACATTTTGTGAGTGCTACTGCTACAAGATGTTCGGCACTTGTGCTGACAGCTTCTCCTGCAGTTCTCTGATCTTAGAGCAGAGCTCCACCTTCTGCTCCTTGTAGCTCTGGAGGAGGAAATCTTTCCCTTGATAACTTCCTTCAGCTCACCCACCTCTCTCCTTAGCATCTCCATCCTCTCTACCTCTCCTTTCCTCTTCTCTACACCATTACAGTGCACCTCATGGTCATCCACGCTGCTGTCAGAATAACCATTAGCATGCCCATTTGTGCCATTTGTCTGCCACTGTCCGGCTTGAAAAGCTTTATCAAGCGAGAGTGAGTCCGCAACGCAATGATCTGCGACGATCTTCCTTAGATGCTGAACCTCCCTCTCTGATTCAAACAGATCTCGGTTCGTGGCATCCAGTTGGGACTGCAACCCAGTGTTCTCAGTCGCCTGGATGGCCAGAGAGTTCTTAAGCTCCGCGATCTGAGCTTGCATCTCCATGATCATCTCATCACGTCTCTTGAGCTGCTGCCTCAGCTTCTGTATGACCTCTCGCTTGCCACAAATGTCGGATCCTGATTCTGAAATGGAGGGAGAGCCTGAGCAGTTTGAGTACTGAAATGTTGCTTTGCGAGGATCTTCAAGCCGGTCAGGCGATGATGACCACATGATACCACTGTTCTCTTTGCTTGATTCTGGTGCTGGTACCTTCACAAGAAGATTGGATGGTTCACTTGATTTGGATATAGGACTTGAAGGTGCTTGCTTGAGCTCCACTTCACCATCCGCATGCCCTGCATATCATAACCAGGGATAAATAATTTTCCCCCCCAGTGGCGAATCTGCAGTGACTTTACTGCAAGGTACTTCCTCCATCCCCAATTATAAGTTATTCCAAGCATCTCAAGTTTGACCAAATTTATATAATAAAATAATAACATTTATGATACCAAATAAGTATCATTAGATTAATTTTGGTCAAACTTGAGATGCTTTGACTCTCCAAGAAAGTTGAAATGACATAATTTGGAATGGAGGGAGTATTCTTTAATGGAGCATTAAATTCCTGTTGTTTTTTTATAGGCACACAGCGGTTTTGTATATTATGCTAGCTCTCAATTTAATCTCAGATGAAAAACATTAACACTGTGTACAGGGGCAAGGTTCTGATGAGAAGGTTATAGGCAACAGAACATGCTAAAGGTACAGAAAATCACCTGACATGTAACAATGGTAGCTAGTTTGGTCACTGAACCTGTAGAGGTTGGAGTGCAGTTCACATACCCCAGGCCTTCTTTTGGCTGCAATTTCTCATAGTCAGCACTAGGCAGCAAAGCATTTTAAAGCACATGGAAAAGTGATACAGGTCACACTCCAAATGGATAAACGCAGACCTTTGGTAGAAGGGTTTTGCTGCTTGGTTTCAAACATCTGCTTCAATCTGCACCCAAGTCTGACTGAAAGTGTGCTGAGCAAAATGCCTCCTGCAACAAGAACCCAGTTTGGCCCTCCATGGACATGATCACCCTTCTCTGCCTTCTTTATGCTCCCATTAGCCTTAGCCTTCATCTTAAGAACCACTGATTTTCTTTCAGACTAGTGTGCACATTCGCCTACATATATATGGATAAGATACCAATGTGGTAAGCAACATGGTTCCCATGTTCACGCAGGAGAAAGAAATGATACATCCACTAACACATATATGCATCGTAAGGGTTCGAGTGTTTGAGGTACACATAATCTGAAGTCCTGAATGAAGGGTGGATATGGCTCAAGAGACGACTAAATTCATAAGTACAAGTGGAAATGGCTAAAAACACAGGAACTGAATGCATCAAAAGGGTTTGATCAAATGATAACGAGGGTCCGATTGGATGATTCATGGTTTTTTCCCCAGAAAGACCCTGGACAGTTGGATTACCAATTGAAAACATACGGATGGATTAATTAACCTTAAAAGGCGTCCAAATTTGGAAGGACAGGTCGCAAAGGATAAAACAAAAACACATATACGTACTGCCGCCAAGCTGTTACTGCATCCTAATTGTCACCAATCCAAATAAGAACGTGCGCATGGACCTGCGAAACTGCCGAAGTGGGGTTCTCACCGGCCGGTCACGCTCCGCCCGCCCAGAAGACGCCGCCTCCACCTGCGTGCCTCCCTAGTCCCTCCATTTGGCCGGCTGGTTCCCCGTTGCCGCGTCGACCGCACGCTTCGGCGCCCACGGCCCTGCCGCAACGACCGCCGTGGCCACTGGCCGCGCCGCCGCCTGGCGTGAACTGCCAGCCGACAGCGGAGTGAGGGTTGGGGGATTCGGATTCAGGGTCACGTGAGGCATGCGTGAGAGACAGCGAGTAAGCGGAGTGAGGCTGCTTGGAATTTGGGCCCCCGTTGCGGCCTGTAGAAAAAGCCCATAATAGCCTGATCAGTGGCCGAGGAAGGACTAAGCACTCAAGCACTTAATACTCTGTTTGGATACAAAGTATTTTAGTTTTCCTAAAAAAAAAGTATTTTAGTAATTTTAGAAAAAGTATCATTACTTTATAAAATATTCTGGTTTTGTAGTTTCATGAAGTTCTCAGAAGTAATATGCTTTATGGTTTTATTACTAAAATTATACTATCTTCATTCCAAATTATAAGTCATTACAACATTTTGAGAGTTAAAGCATCTCAAGTTTGACCAAAACTTATATAGAGAATTACAAAGATTTATAACATCAAATAGGTATACTATAAAAATATAATTAATAAAGAATCTAATAATACTTATTTTGTATCATAAATGTTATTATTTTATTATATAAATTTGACCAAACTTAAAATGCTTTAACTCTCCAAGAAAGTTAAAATAACTTATAATTTGGGATGGAAAGAGTAGTTATTTTGTAGTTTTAAAAAGTCCACCATGGATCTTTTTTTTTTAAACCATAGTTTCACACTTCTATAGGCTCTAAAACTGTAATTTCTTAATATCACTGTTAGAGTCTCTTTTTATCTAAACCATGGTTTCTTAATACTACATCCAAACAGAGCCTCTTTTATCTAAACCATGGTTTCACACGTCTATAGGTTCTATTCTAAAACTGTAAATTCTTAATACCATTTTATCAATACTACAACAACCAAACAGGCTCAAATGATTCCAAATTTTGAGAAGAAAAAAATCCGATTCCAAGTGGAAAAGGTTTGCCTTTTTTTTTCCCAATATATATAGCATCGTTCGGAGCATACGTCACATATTTCTTCGACGAAAGGCTATCAAACAAAGTGACCGCAACAAAATGCTTCATTCAGATCGATCAAATCATCACATACAAAATCAGATGGCCTCACAAGTCACAATTCTCTCGACCGGTTCACTCTGCTCGCAAATACTACAAGTTCAGTCACTTAAACTTCTAGTACTGAACGACAAAACCCCCATGCCCAGTATTGTCATGAGCTTCTCTATAGGGTGACCACGAGCTCCTGGCTGCTCAGCAGCTCGAGTCATGTCGACGCAAGGAAGCCCATCCTTCCTAGATAACAGATGTTCCTGCAGGCGAGGTTGAAGGGGCCTCGAGGCTTTCTGCTGCCATTTGCCTTCGTGGTGGCTTTCGCAATCCTCGTTTTCTTGCTCGTGAACTTATCACAGTTTCGAGCTCTTTTTTTCGACCGTGCCACTTTAATCATGGACGAGAGAGAGTAAGAACTTCAGGTTAGTATCAGGTCATGGCAAACTCAAATGAAAATTAAATAGACACAAACAACTCTATTTGGATAAAAAAATTCAGAATACTTAAGTCAAAAATATCTGGTAACGAATCAACCGTGGGCTGTAGCCATTACCTTAGCTAGTCTCTCCTTAAGCTTTGGCTTTGCAGATACTACCAATCGTTTTGGTTGACAGTCTGAGTTTTGTAGCAACATCTTCTGAGGTTTCAACTTCTTTGTCCCTGTGGCCTCCCGTTCTTTCCTTCTCCTTGCTGCTTGAAGCCTCTTGGCAGCTATTTTTGCTGCGAGCTTTTTAAGCTTCTTGATTATCCGTCCCCTCTCTTTGTTCCACAGGAACATAGATATCATCTCTGACTTTATCCTTTCATAGCTGTCCCAGTCAAGCATATTTTGGCTGTGATCACCATTCTTTGCTGCTTCAGCTATACTATTTGACCATATCTGCAGAACCCTCTGTCTTGATTGGACAGAAACTATCCGCCTCTCCCAGATCATCCTCAGTGCGGCACTTATTTTGTCTTTGCTTGTTTCTCTGAAATAAGACCAAGAATAGCAACTTTCAGAATATAAAGAGCTATACATGCATCCACTGATCTATATAACAAAAACATGTCTGTACCTATGTAGCTGACGATGCCCTAACATTTTCTTCCTAACCTGGGTTTAAAAAAGAAGAGGGAAAGTTGAATTAAATTTCCCTAGATAGAACATGATCCACAGCAAAGCAGCTCTTGGACTGATGCAAGAACAGCTAGGGAAGTTTCTTACATGACATCACCTTGGGGTCTCTCAGAGCTTGAGCAGTCCGCTGCTTGATGAGCTTCTTGTGCTCTGCAGGAGAATGCAACATTCCTTATTGAAAGAAAATGGCATGATACAGCACTGAACTGTAATACTGCTGTCAGAATAATTAACAGTGAAAGGTTTACCATACCTTCACTCCATTTCCTGCCTTTTGTCCAGGGAACCTTCCCCTTGTTCGCAGCACCAATCTTCCGTCTTCTCTCAATTTCTTTCTCCGACAAATCTGTGAAGTAAGCAACACCTTGTAGCTGACAAGATTGGAGATCTTGAACTTGCTTCACAGTGCTCTTTTCCACAGAATATTGTCCACTGGAAACCGAGGCTGAGTAAGAAGAATGATAGGACCATTGTTCATCCATTCCATGGGCCAATTGTTCACAAGCTAGTTCTTTCAGGGATGACTGGGGCAAAACAAACTCCCGATGTCGAATTAATTGGCTTGATTTCCGAAGTTCTTTATGTGGCATTGTTAGTTCCACCAATGCACAGCACTTGTGGTAAGATGGTTTTTTCTTGAAGAAGTACCAGAACCATATACAAAGATGACAGGAACGTACGCCCTGTATACAACATTTTCGGACAGAGAACCAGAGGTTAGCTCACAGTGCACAGAGTATTAGTAACATGAAGATTGAAGAAAGTGCTAATTACTCGGCATTGCCCCTCTTCTTGGCGTCACCTTTTTTTATGAGTGAAATAGTAAGAGAGCATCTGGTTGCATGAAATTAAATTTATGTTAAGCTTTGCCACAGTTGAATGAATTAACAAGTTCTTCCATTCGCAATCAACCGAGCAGTGGTACGACTGCAGCCTGTCGTGGATGCATTTCCGTTTTTCAAATTTCTACATACATATTTCTCACCCAAAATATTGTGCCTATATGGTACCATTCTACAAACATTAAAATTGCACTAAATTCAGTAGGAAATATCATCTCTAACACCGAGCAACTTGTTATTTAGTATACTGCACTGTACAGATTGAGGTTTGCACAATCTCTATGTGCGTTATTGTCCGGCTGTACTAAAGCTACCTCCTGCATCGTCTGGAGCAGGCTGGACGCAATCTGACGCCTCCATGGGAGCAGCGAGAGCAATGGAGTGGCGCGCGCGTTGCTGACTCCTGCGTACTCAGTGCCCTCGTGCCCGCGGCCAGGGATTCGAGTCCCCCTCTTGTTCCCGCCGTACCCTAACCGTGTTCCCCACCTGGCACGGCGCGTAGACAATGCCGGTCGATTCGAACAGTTCGAACACAGCATACATTGCACGAAAACGCTCCCAAGGCTAATACACAGTTCGCAGGGGCAGGACAAAGGGAAAATCCAAGAGAATGGAAACAGACGGGGGCGTTACCTGGAACAGTGGACGGCGGCGGCCATGGCTTGAGGAAGACCAAGCCTCGTGCCGTCTCCGGCGAGGAAGACCGCGAGAGGACGGGACGAGCAGCCGGCTTGCCGGCAGCGAGTGAAGTGGCCTGACCTGACCAAGTGGGGTGGGTGGATGACCTTATCCTGCCAAGCGCGCTCGTCTCGACTTTCCTTCCCGGGCCTAATCGTTACGGCCCACGGGAGGGATTCGTGCAGAAGATGCGGGCCTAACGGGCAAGGAAATGAAGGAAAGCGTACGAATGGCTTAAAAGGCGTCTAATTTGCAAAGGATACACAATCTCTATTAGACGACCGTCGCACCCGCGGAAGAGCGTGGGACACGTCGCTGCCCGTTCGATCGCGCCCACACCCACGGCTAGGGTTTCCGTGAGGAGCTCATCGGCGTCGAAGACGACGAGCACGCCGGCGTCGGAGGTTGGAGTTAGGGTTTTGAGGTAAGTTCATCTCATCATGTCGCACCCTTTCTCTCTCTGGCCTCTCTCCCTTTTCTTCTCCTACTCCGGCGGGCTTAGAAGGAGGCTTTGGGGTAGGCAGGGCGGCTAGGTGGTGGGGATGAGGGAGGGTGGCGTTCGAATCCTGGCGGCGACGGAGGCGGACGGGATAGGTCGGGGCAGGGCGCCCATGGTCGGTGCTCGCCGCGAAAAAAGGTGGGGAGAGGGTGGTCATCGTGACTGCGCTAGGGTTTCACCGGAGCTCTGGCAAAACCCTAGCGGGGCCGTGGCGGGGCGGCAAGCGCGATAGGGGTGAGGACGAGGAGGAGGGCGAGGTCGAGGGGCGGGGTGGGCGATGGACGGTGAGGCCGACGGCGAGGTAGCCGGTGGCCGAGGGTGGCGGGGGAGGAGCAGGTGTGGGGAGGCAAAGCGTCACGAGGAGGAAGAAGGGACTTGTCGCGGCATAACTTCGTCCCAAAGGAGAAACAAAAAAGCACATATACTGCCACCAAATTGTTACTATATCTTTTAACTTCACCAATCCAAATAAGGACGTGTGCATGGACCTGAAAAACTGCCGAAGTGGAGTTCTCACCGGCCGGTCGATCACGCTCTGCCTGACTTGCCACCTGGAAGACGCCGCCTCCACCTGTGCGCCTCGGCTAGTCGCTGAAAGGTCCTAAATGGCTAAAGAGGGGTGAATAACCTAATTAAAAATTTTACAAAACATTAGAGCAAATTATTAGACAACAAAATGGCGATAATTGTGTTTTGTTGTAGCCTACTAAAAATGCAAGCCACCTACCAATACAGTAAATTATGATCTCTAATTCAATCAATGGACTAAGTCTCTACTTCTAGACTAGTGAGCTATCTAGCACAAGAAAAACAACTAAATACTTCTAGCTACTCAACTAACAAGACTAGCTACTTCTACCACTACACAAGTATATCAAAATGTAAATACAAGTGACAGAACTATTTACCAACCCCAGCAAGAGATATATCAATCATAATGAATACCAAGAGAGCCAATGAACCAATTGACACAAGATTTTTCTTCTGAGGTTCACTTGCTTGCTGGCAAGCTAGTCCCCATTGTGAAGGCTGGTTCACTTGGTGGTTTGCGAGCTAATAGGCGTCACAAAACTAGCCTTACACAAAGGCGCCGCAAGAACCTACACAAAATGAGGGCGCTCAATTTCATGAGCAATTTACTAGAGTTACCTTTTGGCTCATCGCCGGGAAGGTACAACACCCCTCACAATCAACCGATCGGAGCCGACTTCGCTCAATGATCCTCTAATCACCGGGCCATCTAGGTATCGTCAAACACCAAGAGTAACAAGTGCTCAACTAGCCCAATGCGCCCAACTAGTGCCACAAGATGCTACAACTCAATGCAATGCACTAGAGGCTCACCAATCTCACTCAAATGATGAAATCAAGTGTGCAAGTGAGTGGATTGTGTTGCTTTAGCTCCGAAGGGTTCTCTTAGGTGTATGGGGTTTCAAGAGAGTGGCCATGGCCGACCACCACCTCTATTTATATCCATACAAAGCAAATAAAGGCGTTACCCCCCTTGAGCACTTTTCTGTGAGGGCATCAGATAGGGCGGTGCCACACCGGATAGGGGTGGTGATGCCCTCCAATGGTCGACTTCAACGGCTAGTTTGACTAGCTGTTGGCACAATGCTTGGCACCACCATAGGGCGGTGCCCCCTGCGGTGCCCATTTTAGTTTTTAGGCGCTCTCTGGATAAAAGTGGCGGTGCCACCGCCCTTGGGTGGAGGTGCCGGCGGTAGTGCCCAACTTCGCTCGAACCCAAAATAGCTAGCCTTTGGAAACATAAGGTTGTGCCCATGATGGTGGCACTGCTAGGGTAGGGCGGTGCACCGCCCCTGGCACGCGCGGTGTACACCGGACAAGGTAGTGCCCTTAAGCCGAGGTTGCACGAGGCTAAGTGTTTGGCTCGCTTGTCCGACCCACGGACAACCCAAACACCTTTTCCGCAAGCGATGCTAACTCTCTAAAGTTTTCACAAAGAAGTTAGGAGTCAAGTTAGCGTTTCTAAAAACATTTTTCATAAATATTTTTGTTTGCTTTCCAACATGCACTAGGCCTAAATGCAATGCATGAATTCCAACATCTAGTGGCACTAGATGACCAAATTGTCTAATAGAGCTCCCCTCTTATAGTATGGCCATCTATCCTAAATTCAGTCACACTCTCTATAGTATCTTGATAGGCAAAACAATATCCCTATTTATACCTTTGCCTTGATCTCCATAGGGTTTTATTTTTCTCTTTCTTCTTTTCCTAGTTGGAGCACTTGATCATCATTTTATGTGGCCATCTCCATCACTTGAGTGCCATCAAGCTCCATGTACCACTTGTTGTGTACCAACCTATCTCATCCATCACTTAACCAAAGGTTAGTACACTAAGGTTTTATCAATTATTCAAAACCAAACTAGGAATTTCAGTTGCCCGGTTCCCCTTTGCTGCGGCCCTTCGCCTCCCACCACATGGACCACACACTCTTGTCGTTCATCTGGCGCCTACGAACTTGGCGCAATGGTCACGCACTCACGCTGCCGCCTAGCGTCAACTATGGTTTGGACAAAAGGAAATGACAGGTTCCCACTATTTGGAAATGAATAGATCGGCCTTGCTAGTACCTAGACGTCTAGACAGATGGGTCATCCGGATGCCTGCGTCTACAGCCGTTTCCTGCTTCAAATGCCACTAGCATCAAGAAAGAGGGGGAGAGGGTGGCAAATGCCCAGTAAGCGTCGGGAGGAGACACCGAGGAGGGGTAGCAAAAAGCGAGGAGAGAAATACAACACCCGATCTACTTTTAAAACATCCAGATACAATAATTGCAACATACGTCTAGAGTCAGATGGAACACTTAAGACATGCATCTAAAATACTTGTAAAACACATGAAAAACACTTAAAAAACCATTATAAAACATACGAAACATCCAGATAAAACACTTGCAACATATGTATGAAATATTTGCAACATCTAAATAAACACACTTGCAACATGCGCCTAGAAAAATAGATGAAACATTGGGAACAGAAGCTTGCAACATATGTGTATAACCATTACAACATGTGCGACATCCCGATATACTTTTGCAACCTCCGCATGAAACACTTGCAACATACCTTTGAAATATCTAAAACACTTAAAACATATGCTTGCAACATGCACTTTCAGCGCAATATCTCCTTGCTGTTTCAGAATGGAGGCTCGTTGGCACGTGGAGTTCACCGGTGTAGAGCTCACCAGTGGTGCGGAGCTCACCGCTCTAGTGGAGAAGGCGGCGGCTGGTGAGAGGCACAGTGGAGAGGGAAGAAGACGAGCTACCACGCTTTGGCATCGTGGAGATGTCGGTTGGTGGAATGAAGGCACGTTGGAGAGAGAGAGGCGCGGTAAAGAGAATGGTTGCCGAGGCAGCATGGCGAAGCGAGGTCGCGATGCTGCGATGAGGTGAATTTTTTTGGAGAATGGTTGGGGGCGATGGATGAGCAGATAAGAGGCCGACGTTGGGCTAACACAGGCAGCCCACCATCAGGAGCGTCCACGCGTGGAAGGACGCCCTATACCAAGAATTACCATAAACTGATAGGGGCACCGATCAAGAACATAAGAAAAAGATAGGGCTGGTGGAAAACATGGAAGTTCCATGCCATGAAATTAAGAACTAAGAAGGAAAATACATAAATAAAATGAGAGAGTGAAGAGAATACCCTAAAGTGAAATGATTCATATTTAGATTGCCAAGTCAATTCACTTCTCCCAATCTTCTTTCTCTTTTGTTTTTTTTTCTCGGACCGGTCGCGCAAGATCGTTGGTCTTCCCTTAGAACCGATGAAAAGTGGGTCGCTTCTTATAGACTCGCTCAAAATGATTCTTCTCTATCTATAGTTCATGGCCTATTAGAAGTAGAAGGTGATCTGGTGCAATCCTTACCGATAGAAAAAGATTACAGCCGGGTTGATTTAATCGAGTGCCATTAGTTTGTCGGTCTGAACCAAGGAATACGTTAGAAATGTTTTGAAATAGATATTGTTCTCTCTTTGATTAGGGATGCTATATGAAAAGAAGTGGAGTATGAAAAAGGGAATGGAATGGTCAAACCGGAACTGCTAGAGGAATGAATTTTCGCTCCTTCATGTTTTGAAGCTACACGATTTTGTTGCCTACAACAATTTTGCTCGTTCATGTTGAGCTGTGTACCAGTTTAACCTTCAATTAGATCCCACTTCTAGAGACACCACGAGCTGCAACATTACTTTTCTGAGAGACATGACAAAGCTAGATTTGGATGGGCATTGTAACCGCATCATCGACCCCTCTACTTTCTTTTAATAGCCTACTGAATTTGGTCTGCTGAGTAACACCAACATCTATGATTATTTCAGATATA